GCTTCTTCTTCTTCTTCTTCTTCTTCTTCTTCTTCTTCTTCTTCTTCTTCTTCTTCTTCTTCTTCACCTGACAGAAAATCATACGAAACAAAGTTAGAATCAAACGAGATACTTCATTGCATCAAAATATAATATTTATTCATAAACTGATATTTCATTAAACAAAGAACAAAAAAATATAAAATTCAGTTTGTTCCCAAAGCGCGAACAAATCGTCATATATTTGAAACAAAAATTTGGACGGCTTCAAAGGAATCCTAACCCTGGCATCTAACAAGCGACCACAAGCGTTAGGCTATATTATATTGTCTTATAATCTTAAAGTCAAAGCAGTATACATGACACAGCTTTGCCATGGCAGTAGATTGAGTAGACATTGAGGAAGTAGTACTTTTCCCCTTTTAGACCTTGATTTCCTTTTTTAATATATTATGCTCTAACGGATAAACATTGAAACTGCGTTGAAATCAAGAAAAGAGCAAGGCTTTATCGTAATTTTTACAAGAATGATAGGGCTTTTTATTATAGGGAATTTCTTAGTTTTCCCCGAGGATGGATTCATAGTTTGTTCAATAAAACTGACTGCGTTAACGGCTTATTTTAAAAAAAAACACGTTGTTTTCAACAAAAATCAAAAACATGAAAATCATGTTGCAAAGAAACGAGTAAGTGTCAAACGTAGAAAAAAAAATAGAAAAATAGAAAAAAAATCACCGGATTCGTACGATATGATTTTGAACGCTAGGCCTTGTTCAAAACTTAATATTAACTCTTCGTGTAACAGTTGATAGAGAAAAATCAAATATTGGTCAGTCACTCTGACTATAAAAAGTATTCTGCAAAAAACTTTTCAAGTGGGAGAACGCCGAGTATAGTTCATGCAAAATATATCCGAAATTGTGAAGAACAGAATGATAAATATATTCCTCTAATATGTCATTAAAGACATCACCATGCTGACGGCAGATAATATGATCGTGGTGATGTTGTGGTGGTTGAGGTGGGGTGGAGAATAAAATATTAATAGAGTATTTTAGTCGAGTGTATCCGTCAAGACCCACTTGGCTGAAAAGGAACGATTTTTCATACCCGTAAGTTAGTGATGCTACTGATGCCACGAAACAGATAGCCCCAATCACGAACTACAAAAAATGGCATATAACATAATACGTATTATGAAGACGGGCTTTTGCAAAAATTGTACCAAGCAAGAGATTTACCTACTTCATTGTCCTGGAACAAACATTGTACCTGACAAGATAGTCACTCCTCAATTTTAAATACTATTTTTTAAAAATAAGAATATCTCCCAAAAAGCCTGCGGCAGTATTTATAATATTATTGTGAAGCGTCAAATACATTTTTAAGGACAGAGGTATCGAACAATTTTATAATCAAAGAAACTTCAATTTAAGAAACGAAGCAAAACGTTTTAACATTGCCGAAGGCGACATGTCTAGAATAGCGTATGTATTGTCGAGAACTACCTATTGTTTAGAGAGAGAGAGTGAACCATCTTACAACGTCGTACTATCTTTGGTTTCAGAAAGCAGACACTAGCCACCATAGGAGCCTACATTATAGTATGAACACAATGAAGTTCTTGTTCTCGCTCTTTGAAAATGGTGGTTTGGCAAAACTTTCTTTGAAAAAAAGCCTCTTGAGTATAAAACAAAATTGATGTGGTGTTTATTACTTCAACAATGATTGATGAAACAGGGGTTGAGGAAAAGAGACTTGTTCTAAGGCGGTCTAGACAAGTTGGATTTGACATCATCAAACTTTGGGTAGTCAGTGGGCCACTTGACGTTGTCTTTAGGGATGTACCCATAGTTGCCCGTCGCTGGAGCATACACCCAGATCCAGTCCTTCTCAATCTGATTGGCTAGATCTGCGAACACGTGATCCCCTCCTGCCACAGAAATGTCGTCTGCTGATTGTGCTGTAAAGTTCCTCAGTGTGATCAGTTCTCTGACGTCATGGAATTTCGTTGTTGGTTTGGGGGCTGCTTCTTGGTTGTTACTGCTATTGGTATTTGGATCTGAGGATAAGAAGGGGGGAGAACTTGATGCAAAGTACTATCATAATATTATGCTCTCGAATAATCAATTATGGTTTTCGGCTGTGACGAAAAGGACCGGCAATTTGACCTCATTGTCTGCTTACTAAAAGGTGCAGGTCTGTTCAGTGTTGAATGTTTTCTATTCCGTGTTTCGATAAGTGGACGACTGTGGTTCTTTGAGGCTCAAAGTCTTACTGACGGCATCTGTGAATGCGTGTCGGCATATGTGGTTTAGCGGTCAGACGCTTAGCCGTCGCATGCAGAATATCAGAGTTTGATTCCCGTTTGGAGATAAATTTCTTTATCGGTCTTTCGTTTGGGATGGTGCATCAGTCTCAGCCCAGGCTGGTCCAGACGAGTAGGGTCGAAACCCGCCTCCTGAGTGATCTAAAATGTGTCGATCGGGGCGTTTATAAAACTTACGTTTTACATTTTTCCGACCCAGGTACTGGACGAGAGAATTGGTGGAAGAACCGGAAGACAAGTGTCCCTCGTTTAAAATTGGCCGTGCCAGGGATAGATGGCGGTCGATTGCCTTAAAGCTTACGGGAAAGAAGAATCGGGTTTAAATTGGGTGCGTCTAAGGGAACATCACCTTCCTTCTTTATTTACCTCTAAGAGAGGATCACCTTCCTCCTGTAATGTTCTTTTTGTATTGACCACCTTCCTCCTTTATTCGTTTCTAAGGGAAAATCGCCAATACTTTCCTTTATTTATAAAAAATGACTGTATACCTTTTCTAATGCTCCTTGTGTAATGATCACCCCTGTTGTTCTTTTAGTACGATAAGAAAAAAAAGTTGAAAGAGACTTGAGTATTTGCATTTTTATGACAAAGTACACTATTTATTATGCTCAACGTTTAACCCATTTTTATGCTTTTTCGTGAATTTTTCCAGGACTGTTGTTCTATTTTAAAGTCATGACCACCTAACTCTTTTATTGTTCTTTACGCGATGATCACCCACCACCTCTGTTCGTCTCTAAAAGAATATCACCCATATTGTTCTGTTCAGTAATGACCACCTAACTCCATCATTGCTCTTTATGCCATGACCACCTACCTCCTTTATTCGTCTGCAAATCCTCTGGAAACCGGCACAAGAACGCAGACGGCATGAACCCCTCCTGACCGTTGAGTCTTCTCACCCAGGTCCACAGGGGGTCCTCCCTATTCAGGGCGGTGACCACCTCACCTCTGTCCACGTTGACGTCATTCTCGTCCACCACCCGGAACTGGAACACGACCAAGAACTTCCCGCAGGGCTCTTTGATAAACGTTTTCACTTCCGTCACCGAGTCTGAGTTGGCGCTTTTGCGAGACGCCTTGCGGTGTGGGTCGGCAGACAACGACTGCCGTTTGGGTGATTTTTTCCCTCTGTTTATGTCTGAAACTGGAGGATGCTGGACGTAGTTATTGGTGGAGACAACATCCGGGACGTTTAACGTTCGTGCTGGTTTGGGCAGCGGGTTTGACAGGTTGCTAGGAAACACCGATGGCGTCCCAGGATGATGGCCCCTAGACAGCGACGAGTCGCTTCCTTCTTCGCCCTGCAAGCTGTCGTCACTCACACCTCCGTCCCTTCGATCGAGTGAGCGGCCTTTCTGGTGACGTGACTTGTTCGTGGGACCTGTGACGTCATTGGACGGTGTGACGCAGATAAAGGGGAGGAACCCCTCCTGTCCCAGTTCGGTAATGACGTAGACCCAGTCGTTCTCGCGATAGAGCAGGTAGACGGAGTCCCCCGTCTGTGCGCTCAACTCTCCGTCACCGGTTCCCAGAAAATCCTGGATGAGGTTAAGGGTTTAGTTTTAGTAAATGTTTTACGGCACTTGCAGCACAAATTAGGTTTTTAAAAAGTTCATGTGAGTGTTTTTACAGCCCCATCGGCACAATTTATATCATTAAGGAGGCGGGCTTAGACTCTGCCTGGCAGGGCTATACCCGGGCCAAAAACCTCTCTCTCTCTCTCTCTCTCTCTCTCTCTTTCTCTCTCTCTCTCTCTCTCTCTCTCTCTC